TAATATAGTATATATACTAATTAAAAAATACTTTCAATGATTTTACAATTTTGGAAGATATCTCAACACATACATTACAGAGAAAGGCTTGGAAAAGGTAAAGAGATAAGAATATATAAAGTTAATAATGCTGTGAGAACACCAATGAAAGGACACAAAAGAAAGGTAAAGAGATGAGTATATATAAAGTTAATAATGCTGTGAGAACACCAATGAAAGGACACTTAATTTATTATAATTATCCCAAGGTGTAGTAGTTAAAAATAAACAGGGTACCGACTTCTAACAGAGCGGAGCACGTTAGTGTAGTAGTTAGAGGATAGCCGAGCACCGTACCTATTCCTTAATAGCTAATTAATTTTTTAATAGAAAACAGTTATTGATGAAATCTAAACCATTTCGTGGTTATACAAATTTATAGTATATTATTTATATTGTATATTATTTAATTAATTGTTTGTTATTTAATTTATTGTTTATGATTTAATTTATTGTTAATTATTTAAAAATGAATTTGTAAATAGATTACAATATAAATAACCATCTTACATGTTTCTAACAGCAGTTGCAATAATACTCCGCCCTGATGAAGAAGTCAAACAAACTTCGAAATGTCGGCGATATTTATTATATATATAAAAATAATAATAAAAACTAATTTACAAATTTTTATTTTTTGTGCAAAAAGTGAACTCACCACTGCTCTAAAATAAATATTTTACCTTTAATTGTACATTATTTTGTATATTGCATTGTTTTTTAAAGCAAAATAATTTGTTTCGATGATATCTTAGCTTAATTTGAAATTATTTAGAACCAATTGAGCATTAAATCCAAATTGGAGGGCTTACATTTTTTGATAAAGTCTTCATTAAATTTTTATTTTACCATTTAATAAAGTGGAAATATACCAATTTCAAATGACGTAGTAAATTATTCATTTTTTTTTTATATTTTTAAGATTTTCTGTAACTCTCCAACTTATGAACGTTTTGTAACATGGCGTTTGATTCTGCACAGATTCTTGTGGCAGTGATCGACAAAAAATTTTTCAACGCTGCCATTCACGGTCGCTTAATTACGCTTTAAAATAGATTAGTTAAATTAAATTAATTAAATCAGGCAGTATGAAATGAAGTGAACAAATAATGTGATTAAAAAGCCTTTGATCATTTATTGATAGCTTCTTCTAAATTATTCTAATATAATTACAATTTTTATATAAATCGTGTCTTGCCCTTACCATTCTCACTTTGTTCGACTCACTTTGTTCGACAACAAGAAATGCTGTATGTGAACATTGTCTTGAATATATAACTTTAATACTGGAATTCCAAGAAGATATAGGAAATATAGTTTAATACGCTAATGTTTTTCTCGTACAATTTTATGAATAAGTCATTAAATAGTTAAGAATATAACTGAAACAGTTGGGATAAGTTTATTAAAACGACTTATAATAAAAATATATAAAATGATTATATATATATACTAGCAGACCCGACAGATGTTGAAATGACAGACAAATAATATAATAATTTTGTTATTCTTTATTTTGAAATAGCATCAATTTTTCGAAAAACAATTCGTAATAATCAATAATGTTTTTTTAATTTCATCTTAATGCGAGTTGATGAACAATATTTTTAGTCAATTCTTGAGGAGTATAAATGAATAAACTTGACGGTTTTCCAACACGAGAACACGCCACATATAATTGGCCATGTGAAAAGACCTGATTTTCTAGATCTATCCCACAAATCGACATTGTTTGACCTTGTGACTTATTAATAGTCATGGCAAATGCCAAGCGAATGAGAAACTGCAGGCGTCTGAATGGAATGGGTGACTCTGAAGGGATCATTGGGATTCGTGGCAGGAGCATAATTATAGGTGAGCCAATTTTTAATCTTAAGTTATGTGGTGACATTCCTGGTAAATCCAGCGAATTCAAAAATTCAACAGAATGGTTGAACGATTCATTTTAGAGACTTTCAACTTTTTAAACAAATCAAAGTAAGCGTGAATAAATTTTAAATATCTAATATAAATGTATATGGATACCAAAAAACTGTATAATAATTTAAAAAAATTATCCAGTGGACAAAATTGTGAATCTAAACCATACTTAAATCCACTTGAACACACACAAAAAATTTCATCAAAATCGGTTCAGCCGTTTACGAGGAATTCACTGTCAACACACGTACAGAAGAATTATATATATAAAGATAAAATAAATATTTGGGAATAATTTTTAGATAAATAATGAAACCTCCCACTTAAACCTCCACATTTAAAAACTAAACCCACTTTTAAAACCATTAGCACCTAACAACCATCTTTACATGAATTGTGTCTTTCATTTATATAATTCTGACTTTGTTTAATTGAATCTTCCTATAAATAAAAACTGTTATAATTTCTTGAATATTGAAAATAATTTTAATACTTGAATACGAAATACTTGAAACGAAATACAGTTTGATATGCTTTTGTTTTTGTTATACCATGTCATGAATGTGTCGAATAGATAAGAAAATTTATAAAAATAGGAATTATCATATAGACCCAAAAATTTCAGAAATAATCTATATATTTGACACTTGAAAAATTATTAAATTAATAAATCGTGATTTTAATTAAATTTCAGTTCATTTGATCTTTATTTGTTAATTTATAATTTTACAATAAAATTAAATAATTACACAATTGCTATCTTTCTTTTGTTTTCTAGAGATATTTTTTGTTGCATTAATTATTTTATTTTCTTGTTTTTTAAGATTTGTTGTTAACGTTATTAATTTATGTAAATTTTTTTTTTTATTAAATATAAATATTTTAGTTTTGTAAAGCCAAGTATAATATTCAATTAAATCAAAATAAATTTTTTTATGTGTAAATTTATTTTGAACATTATTTATATTCATTTTAAATATTCTTAAAAAATATGGCTTAGAAAATAGCGCAATTAAATGATATTTTCCTTCATAATAAATTTTTTTTACAGGCTTTTCTTTAAATCGTGTTAGTTGTTTGTAAAAAAATTTTTTTATTAATTAAAACTAAATTTAAATATATATATGAAAATTTAATAATTACATACATACACTACTAAAAGAACATGAAATGATACATTTAAAAAATACGAGCTGAGAATAGCTTAAATAAAATATATATATATAATAGGATGAATAAAATAATGTTATGATTTTGTACAGAACTGTAATATAATTGAAAACAATGACAGCAATGAACAATTTTTTTATGCAGTATCTGATATAAAACTTAAAATAATATAATTCCTTTTTCTTTTGACAAATAGCTTTAATATTATACTGAATATTTAAATAAAATGTATTTATTTACCATAAAATTTATAAAACAAAAATTAGTAATCATAAGTGAAGCTAAAACTAATATTCTATACAATACTAAATAATTTGTATTGCAATAGTTTCAATAAGATTAAAAATTAAATAGTAAATAAAATATCGCTGTATATGATCAAAATTTTAAATATTTTTAAATTTCAATATATGTATATTATTCTATTAAAATAATAAATTTATAAATATATTTTAGATTATTTTTTAGTATTAATATTAAAAGTGAAAAATTTTATTACTCTTTCATTTTCGTACTTTTAAATTAAAAAAAAAATTATCATGAATTTCATTATATCATAAATTCTATTGCAGTTTTAAGTTTTAGTTGAAATTTTATATAAATTTTAATTGGCAAAAGTTTTGATTTGGAAACTTTAAGATTCTATTTGCATTCGATTTTACACAGTGTTCACTTAAAACATATGACTTGCACATAGGATCTGAATCAAAAATTGTATAATATCTTAGGCAGCGATAAAGTAAATTGATACGACTTTGGTAAATTAAGAAAATAATATATCATCCTATATAATTAATATGTATATAGTTAGTATAGTATATCTCTTATATTATCTGATGTTTCTTTACAATACAGTTATATATCATGAAATTAGTTAAGTTTCATTTCGCATTGTGTACTTTTTGTTAAAAGTCTAAAATATTTCAATAAAAAAAAATTAATTACTAAAATAAAATAAATTTAATTCATTATAATAAAACGTTTTTAATAATAAAATATATGCGTTTTCTTTTTAAGCTTAATATGTAATTTTTATATCTTAACATTCATAAAACTTTTCACATACATATAAATGTATATATTTATATTTAATATATAAATTTTTATACACAACTTTGTTGCTACGAATCAACAATACACAAAATATTTAAAAATTAATAGTAGAAAATAAAATTGGTATGGTGGGTAAAAAATGTGTTCAAATAATTATATAAAGTGATAAATTTGTATAAAAATATTAACCAAATATATGTGTAAAGTTGTAAAAAATGATAGTAAAATATTTTAATTAAAAATAACACATGCAGTGAAAATACAAAAAAAAAACATTTTTAATTTATTATAAATATTCAAAATAGCAACACATCTAAGGTTTTCGTTTTATATATTTAAGCTCTAAATTATATATGCAATTTTTCATTAATGAATTTATTTCACCAAATTGCTAGTTAATTTATTATATTTAATATGAATTTATTTCTTTTACTTTATACAATGCTTTACAATTACACGTTTTAATATTTTATTTATATAAATATATTTAATCGTTATCTCTTTATAAATTGTGTACTTCTTTTCTTCTACAATTTATTTTTTTTTAACAGAAATATTATTTATTATATATTTTTACACTATTTTGCATTAATAATATTAATTTTTTAATAGCTATTTTCTTTGTATATTTTTAATACTTTACTTAATTTCAATTATATGTTCGCTTCAGGCATACATGTATTCAAACTAAAATATTTCTAAATAATATTTGCAATAATTTATATAAATAAATTTTTAAATTTAAATATTTTTTAATGTATAATTAATATAAAAATAATATTTAAATTTATAATTTTAATAATTTTAATATATTTGTAAAAGACCTAATATATTTAATCTAAATTATCCTGAAATATTAATTTGATATAACCAGAAGAACCATCAAGTGGCGTCGCACAAAATGGACAAACTGCCTGAAAGCCATTTGTACCATGTGGTATATCAACATTAGCCCAATATCTGAAATTGCAAAAAAATCATATATTAAATTTAATTAATATTTACATAAAAATATTTACTAATCTTGTATACATTTATGTGTTCATTTTCATTATGAGATTTTTAATTAATATCATTTAGGTTTGCTATGCACGAATTTAATGGAATAGCTTAAAAATTGAAAGAATATTTTTACAGTTGAAAGTTTTTCATATTTCGAATCATGAAAGTACATTTAAACTTACAAAAAGACAAATAAAACAAATATTTTAATTTTTATTTAATTGCAAGATTATCTTTCCTCTGCTGATATTGCAGAAGCCCATTGTAATGTAGCAAGCAAGGACATATAAGCATATCAAAACTTGCACGAAAGTAGTCTATGGGAATTATGTACGATAAAGTACATAATTCTTCTCTCTTTTTAACTCTAAAATTCACAAATTAGGGGTCAGGCTGGTATGCTGAGGAAAGCTAGCAGATAGGCAACGTTATTTGGAGTACAGCTGCAGTTGGGGCATATGTTCAGTATATTTTCGTTTATGCATGACAGATTGTTTAAAAAGTTTAAAAAGATATTTGGACTTATATTAGGCCAGAATAGTTCTTTCTGCGTACGGAAGGTATTTTTGAAGATTCTAGGTTTTAGATAGAGGTGTGTTGTATTGGGTCACAACCGTGATCTGAAATATAGGACTAACCGCTAAAAAGTAATTATATCATTTCCAAGAATCAAAGTACAAATAACTTTCGCTATCTCTAAAGAATCGATAGAAGCGCATTTATGAGTAAATATCGATACTTTTATATACTATACTATTGCTTAACGTTTTAGTATTTATTTTTCTCCTTGGCTAGCATCACTATTATTGGTAAAAACTACAAGATCGAATATTTCATTTCTTGAAGCAAAAACTAAAAGACTAAAACTAAAATTAAACTACAACTTCATTATAGCAAACAAAATGCTATGAATTGGTCACTGTTTTAGGAATTCATAAAATTTTTTAAGTGCTTGATCAAAGCACTATTCTTAATTTCAGTAAAACAAAAGCTTTAAAAGGACATGCATTGGAATTGATTAACGTGAAAACATAGTTTTAAGTTTAATATAGAGTTTATATGTCTTTCTTGCGTCAGAAAATAGCTTAAAACAAGTAAAACTAATTTTTTTATTGCTACCTAAGTTACCGAAAGATTTAATTTTTTTTTAGAAAAGCTCAGTAAGTTATTTAACATGAATTTTGTTTACAAATTACTGTCTTCAAGATTAAAATGTTATCATTAAAGATTAATAACTTAAGCTTTGTTATAAGTTCAACATACTTCCCTCATACGCATAATTATGCTACAAAATAATTATAAATAAATTTTTTCTCAACTACAAATATTTTTGGATGTAAAAACCGATGTATACACATATTCATATATACAATATCTGATCAGTTATTTTATATGAACACTATATATATTACATATATAATTAATCAATTTTATGTATTTATTTTCTTGTTATAATGATTTCAGGAAAAACTAGCTCCACATTCCCATCAAAATGTCGGGGCCCCTTCCAAAAGAAAGTTAAAAAGTAGACTTATATTTAAAGTTTCCAGAAGATTTTATAGTTTCCAAAAATTTATTATGCAGAGTATCATTCAACGCTAACCTAAATACTTAATTCATAATAAATCCCAGCATTAAATGAATATGTATATTGTGTAATCAAAAAAAATTACTTTAGCAGACGTAACTATATGAATTGAGTATAAATATGTAGAAAATAATCGAATATAGATACAATTAACATTAGTAACTATTTAAAATCACACTTCAAAAGAAAACTCACTTGACAGTTTTTTCAGTCGCCATGTGACCACATGGATTAAATGCAAATGTAGGAGCACCCACATCAACATAAAATGCAGGTTCAAGACCCATGCATAATGTAACAACAGGACCAACTTCTAGGCACATTGGACAACGACGTGCACCTGTACTTTTATCCTGTCCCCAATCATGATGACCTTAAAGAAATAGTTTTATCATTAAGTTAAATATATTTATATTTTGTATAAATAATTATATATACATACCCTGTACATGTCCACAATTTAAGTACACATAAGGTTGATTTATTTGATCACCAATATTCACTTTTCTAGGTATAACTAAAGTATTCAAACCAACAGGACACTGTGGACGACCAGCATTAATTTCATCAATCAATTTTTCTAAATCACGTTTTGTCTAAGAATTGAACAAATATAAATCAATAAGATATATAATAATAAAATATATAAAATATACAAAATATTAATAGAAAGTTACCGGTGAATGTTGTAAACCCTCTGCAGAACGCCATAATAATGTAGCACCACATAAATCTATTAAAGTACCGTCTTGCAGTACATTCGATTCATCGTATATCTGAATATATTCGAAATTACTAACAATAATATACTGTATAGATATTATTTTTGAACTTACCGGTTGACCCTTTTGTTGTGCCGATCTTGACTCACGCAAACTGAACACATCACCACCCACAGAACACTCACGCCATAGACCACACTTAGCATTACCACCGCAAAATTGACCTTTCGGATGCATTATTAGCACACCATTTGTTGTTAGACCATCAATTTCTACATTGTCTTGCCATTTAGTTGCCTTCTCCTATTTAGTGGTGATATATACGTTGGTGGTGTGGTACACATGCATGTGTTGCAACGCCAGTATATAATAGTTCATTATTGTTGTTTTTTATGACATTCATTTTAGTATATAATAAAAAAATAGAAAAAAGTTTATTAGCACAACTTAATGTTTTTGTTCTTTTTTTTGTTTATTTTATTGATTTTTGTTGAAAATGTTGGTCTAGAAATGTTTTAAGTAGTTGTCGATGGGTTTGAGTTCTTTTGCTTTGCCACCGCTTAAATGTAAAATCTGTTGCCGTTGTTTTAATAGACTGGCAACGGACATTATGTAGCCATGACCCAAATAATAAATACGCAAATTTAATATGCATGCACTTTTCTGAATATTAAATCAGTTAAAGAGCCATACCACATTTGGCCATTGCTGCGGTATTCTTGAAATTGCTAAAGTGATAATCATTATGGGAATATAACTTCCTTATATACATATAAACGTTGTTAGTTTATTTCATATATATAAATTATTATTCAATTTGACACTACTCATATCCTTTCCTTGGCTTTAACAATGACTAGTAAATGTAAGAAAATGTATATACGGGAAAATAGAGTATCATAAAGAAAACTCAACAATTACCTTATCGAAATTTAATTACCCTTCATACAGATTTTTTTAAACTAAATTATATGGCAATTAAACAGATGGATAACATTATAAGGTTCATTAAGGCTATAGTGTCAGGTACATATCAGGTATACTCTCACCTCAACTTGCCTAAAATAATTCTTGCTGTACGAAGAAGTCAACTTTCTTCCTAAGAAATATCAATTAAAAGATAATATTGCATTGAACACTTCAGCAAGTTATTCAGAATCATTTTACTAATCTTTAGACTATGATCCCAAGGCTAAGAAATATTTTTATTCCTTTTGCATCTCAGTAACTACATTAGATGGAAATTGAAGTGGTAACCTCTCTCATACACAAATACTGACTTGCCATAGTCTTTAAAAGTGCAACCATTTTTGAAACTGTTCTAAGAAATTTTGGTAAAGATACTACTATTTCAAGGAAAATTGTAATATTAGATTGACTACTGAGAAATCCTAGAATGTATTTTAGCGTGTGGCAAGCACTAATTGGGAATGTCCATCAAAAGATATTGATTCAAGCATATTTTACTAACCTTTAGTCTATAATCACACGGCTAATAAATACTTATATTTTTGCATCTTTGTAACTACATTAAATGAAAATTTGTATGCTAAGATCGGTTAACTTAGACTCAGCGTAAGTCTTTGTTGCTAATAAACTCAGCTAAAGATACCCCTATTTCAGTTTGGAAAAATTGTAATACTAGGCTGATTTATAAGGAATTGAAAGTTATAATATGTATACCTATGCCACCTGAAAGACAGTGACAGAAGAGATGAGTAACTTTATTGCTATTCTTTCTCTGATACACACCTCGATTTTGATCGTTGCAGTTAGACCCTAATCCGTCAGCGTATTGTTATTATATTGTTTTTTTTTTTATAAATGAAGCATTTCTATATATCTGACTTATATGTCACCGAAAATTTGTAATATTTCATAATTCTATGTTTTTAAAACATACTTACACCCAAAAATATATTTCTACTTGAATCAAATCCAGCTGCGAATATTCTTGCTTTTGATGCTTCACATCTGTTAACCAAAATACGACATGCAAAACGCGATATTGTACTCTGCATGACTTTAGCATCTTTTTTATCACCGGGTAGCGTATCCATTACAACAAAGTCAATTGGTGATTCTGACGAGCGTCCAACCTAAAATATAATAATCAAAAAAATAAACATATATACATTATTCAATATATTATTAACAACATAAATATATAATAGACAAGATGGAATATAGAATGACAAGAAAAAACAGTTCTATGAAATGGTTTTGCTTGCGATTGCAGTAAAATTTGGCATTGACTTAATTTGACATATCGCTAGAAAAGCAATAGAAATTCTTGGAAATATACATGGTACAAATGTATATATATATACTTTACAAAAACGAAAAAAAATATATATATATATAATGTTCTAGTTACATTAAAATAAATATTCGTAGTCAGCAATTGCAACATCCCACAGAGACAATTTTCAGTTTAAATAAAAATTTTCAGACAATAAATGCTTAATGGAAAACTTTTACTTAAAAAGTAAATATATCTAGCCTTTGCTATCTATTGTAAAATTTTATGGAGTTCTAAATTATATATCATATAAGTTCAGCGATTTATTTTATAATATTTGGATTAGTTTTTATTCTTAAAAATAATTAACTACATTATGCGTTATTTACTGGTAATATATAAATTAAGAAAACAAATATTGTTTCCAAGAATAGTGGGATTTCGCGTTAATGGCACCGATCTCTTATGATGACTAAATGCCGCACACCACTCTTATTATGAAACTACTGCTTTACGAAGAGAGGGTGTCACACATCACTTTCATTATAAATATACAATTACACGGAAAATTTAATCCTTAGCATCCAGTTAAAAAAACTTTATTCGACATTTTGATTGTTAACCTATTGGGTGCCCACATAGATATCAAATAGATCGGATGAAGTCATAAATCAATTTGAATAAGTGCTGCAAATGTTCCAGAAATTAAATAAGCGATAATTATTTAGAGTTGACTTAAAAGTAGATTGAAAATTCAAATTATAACAGAATATTTGTCTCCCTCCGTATATACTAAATATATGAGGGTATCGAGCTAAGTATTTCTTTCCTCGTTATCCTACAAATTGTACAATTTTTCCATCAGGAAATTTCCAGTTTTCTAATAGAAGTTAGTATAAATTCTATCAGAGTTTCTGTAAATATTATTATTTAATTTTATTAAGTTACATACGACCCTTGATCAATTTAGATCGGACGTTCCTAAAAGCGATTTTTGGAATGTCTTATATGTTCTCATCTTTCTGAATAAATTATTAGAAATAGTATTTCTTAACAGAATGATTACAAGTGTACAAAGAGGGTGGCTGGTTTTAACCTGTCGAGTTTGTCTGTTATTTCGTTGTTATAATTTACAACTTCACCTGATATCCATAGAATCCATACATGATTATTTTGGCTTAAGACACTGCATCACCAGTCTTGACACCTAGCTATTTGTTATGATATTTATTTGCGTAAATTGAAAGGTAGTTATATTCTCACATGGTGTTTTCAAATACTTCTACCCTTTTCTACGCCTACTCGGGATTCTTTTTTAGTAACTTAACCCCTATTGACTTGTTATGGCATATTGTATACTATATTTCAATACTCATATTTCATTCAAATGCTAAGTTTCGCATATTAAAGGATGAATAAAGGGACTTTTGTAGAATGTGATAACTAAAAAGAAATCACCCGCATCAAAAACATATTCCATAAAGTCATCGTTTTATATAAAATATTACTTTGCAATGAACCTGGATTCTTATTTTGAATTAAGTTTTAATCATAAATAAAATAATTTACAAAAGCAGATATTCTTATTAAATTACTCATCTTTTCGCTTTAATTTACTACAATTATTACTAAAAAGTAAATAATATTATTCATAAGAGAAAAGGTTCATTTATGGAACTGCTCGTACCAACCAAAATGTGCTTATCGTTAAATCAATATTATTTCTAGATTGAATTGGCATAAAAACAGATAAACAGAAAGGCAAATAATATGAAAAATCCAGAAAATAGTCTATAAAAACAGACAATAAAATAGTTAAACAAGCAGACAGATAAACGGCCGAACATAGGAGCAAACAAATGAAATCGATATGTTTTAACAGAGAAAATAAAATATATAAAAGCAAAAAGTATTCAGAAGTGACAGTTGACCATTGGGGAAACCATACCTGTGAAGCGCCCTTTTACTGGTTAGAAACCTAGAGAAAATTACTAATTAAACAAGCATAAAAAACTAAGTGACAATACACAATCGATACTAGAGACGACAACAATAACTGCCAATAACTGCAGGAACAATAGGCAAAACATTCAGACACCTTTTGCTAATCGTGTAATGTCATTTGTTAATTGACAGCAAAACAATTGTAAAAAATGGTGAAAAATGTGAGCAATAAGGAAAAAACTATAGATATTGAATGCCACCTAAGCAGATAAACTGAGTTTGAGTTGGATTTGGCAAAAAAAAAATCAATCTGACCGAAGTGTTTAAGAGAAACACAATTAAAAATAGTAACAAAATATAAACTATTATTGAAAATGAATGTGGATTCCAATTTCAAATTGTGAATCTGATATTTTCGTTTATACTTGTAGAAAACTAATCGCCATTTGGAATTGGTATAGATTAAGTTGAAAGGGCGGGTGTTGATGATGTAGATATTAATGCTTACAATCCGCGACAAATAGTGTCCCCCTTTATAATACCCTTAAATTTGAGCGATACATTACGCATTGCTATTTCTAATATGTTATAACTTCTTGCATTGTTTTTATTATACTATTTAATCAAACAGATAAAGTTAAAGTTACCAGATAAATCTAGTTTTGTTATCTGGACTTGGCAAGCGCAGAAACAGTCTCCTCAATATTGGAGGTGCCTGGTCTTTAGTCCTAGTGAGAGACATAGTAAATGATTGATAGATTCCTCTTCGTTTTCATCATAGCAACCTTGGCATAATGTTAAAGATTGTTATGATGGATCTAATACACAGACAACACTTTCGTACTACCATGTAGTGAGTAGTTAAAGGTGAAATAAGAATATGGTCTGATTTACCATTGAAGTAGAATAAGTCAACGAAAATGTGAGATGATTTCAAGAATGTGTAGTAAGCTTCTTGCTCTAAGGATCAAGTACAACTAAATTGTGCTGATATTTGTGTGGCCAGTTAAAAAATTAAATAGATGAAAAATTAAACATTACAACTTCTGTCTCGAAGGTACTTATTCAATTCGATGACCAAGTCCAATCAATACTTTTGATAATATCCTGACATTACATAATCGATGTAAAAATAATATTTACAAGAGTATATTAAATATGGATATGTGTGTAGCTTAGAATGTAGTTTTATAATTATGTAAAATAAATTATAAACATAATAGTTAAATATTTGAGTGTAATTTTCGAATTCCGAATACTTCTGAGAACAATATCTTCTCAAACTAGACAAACTTGCAAACTAATTTAATAAATATTGTTAGAAAACTTTTTTATAAATTATGAACTGATTACATTTATATAAATAGTCTTAAATACTAATTATATGTATAAATTTATATATATATTTTACATATAATTTTAAATTATATGAACTGCTGTAATTACTCTTTTTAATGTTCTTATGAACTTGAAAGATTTTTGATTTTTACCTGGCTTATATATATATATATATAAAAATGATAAGAAAATATTATACTCCATTATTTTTTGTCTTACATATTTTTAGTTATATTTTAATTTTTAAAAAATATTTATAATACAGATATTTCGGACAATTAAATTAAAATATAATATATTCGGACAAAATTATATATATATAAGTTATTCTGAACTAACTTAAATTATATATAATTACCTGAAACATATCCGTTTCTGAGTCTTCTTTATATTCAACAATTACAGCCTGATTCCGTGAAAGTGTATATGATATCGAGTGTTGATTGGCATCCAAAATAGCTTTCGATGTTTGTGGTGACTGTACGATGTAATGTTTGGAACGTTTAACACCATTTGGTTCTGTGCGTTTATAGAGTACAAATTTTGAACGTCTTCGTCCACGATCGCCTTGTGGTAAATAACCATTATAACTGTAAAAAAGAAAAAAATTAATTAGGAAATTTGTTTATAAAATAAATACTTGTACTGATCGTACAGCTGTTCTGGATATACCTAAATAAATACTTAATAAATTATTCAATATCAGCAACTGTAATCTCTTGTTCGTTTTCATAACAATATAAACGTATTTAAATAAATTAGTTAATAATATGTTATATGTCTGATTACAAAGAGTAAACAAATTTAATTTAATTAAATTGTTTGTTTGGTTTTTCATTATCATTTAGTTTTGTGTATTTTAATCGTATTTCATTTTACTTTAAAGAATTTGTACAGATAGCTATTCAAAATTAGGTCACGTGTCATTTCAACATCTTAGACTGATATATACTATATGTAAAAAAATAAAAAATTACAATTATATATGGGCTTGTGCATTTGCGGAGATAATTTAAACTGGCGTAGACTTTGTTTAAGTACAGGAAACTGAAAACGAAAAGCCTTTGAGAATTTACTTCAAATGAAGTGTGAAAAAAATATTGTTCACTAATGACGAAATGTAAATAAACAATTAAGAATAATGAAACAATAACTTTCAAAACCAATTTTTTTTAATTACATTTAAATTAAATATTTAGAGTACTGTAAAGTATTATTTAGTAATTTTTTTTTTACTTAAACTGATGACTCTTTTCAGTTTATTTAAGGGAAGACATTTTTTTATTATGAAATAAGTTTTACAATAGTAAGATGAGAAAATAAAGATTATTTTTCACATGCTAGATATGTCAGCAAACAAACTTATAGAATTTGGTTTAGTGAAAGTCCACAAGTAACTACCGAAAGGACCATAGCATTCTTAAAAAGTCACTATATGATGAGAGATTTGATCTCAATATTTGATTTTTTTTTTAAACCATCGACCGTCAAATCTGTTCGCTAGAGCAGCTGATTATTATATTTTTTTGCGAGGTTATTTGAAGATTGATAGATGTAGATTGAAGATATAGATGTCGAAGAATCCCGTTTTATATTTGTTGTTGGAGAAAATTTACGGACGTGTAAATTAGCATATAGGTGTCGTAAATTAGACACCTACATCATGCGATTTGTCACCATTTGTCTTTTTTATAGGGTTATTTAAGAATTGTGTTTACAAAATATAATTGATACTACACTGTAAGATGTTTCCTGGATGATATTTGAATCAACTCGAATCACCTAATGACAATGTCAAAACCATAAAATAAAATGAAAAATATTAATTTTTCGAGCTCCAAAAAAAAAATTTTGAAACTACATATGATAACTCCAACATACGCTGTTATTTTAGAAAAAAAACTAGAAAATGAGCCTCTTCTATATATTAGAACAATACCAAATTAATTGAAATAGAATGAGTCTGAATTGTTACTACACTGTAAAATGATTCCTGGATGATATTTGAATCAACTTCTAATGACAAAGTCCAAACCATAAATTAGAATTAAAAATGGATCGAAATGTTCGAACTACAAAAAAAAAATTCTGAAACTACATATGATAACTCCAACATACGCTATTATTCTAGAAATAAACCTAGAAAGAGAGTCACTTCTACATATTAGGACAATACCAAATTCATTGTAACAGAACGAGTCTTGACAGAATAAATTTAGAAGAGCGTTTCTAAATGAAGACCGGTTGATTGTGTTATTGAAAAATAACAATTACAGTTGTTCAGAAATATACTAGAATATTTATTGTTAGAATTATATTTGTGAAGCTATTTAAACAACATTTTTAACTTCAGACCTCAGAATGATGACTTTTAGGGTCATAATCATAATCATTTTTTTGTATTTCGATATTCTTTACATATACAGCATTTTAAGAGGAGGTACTCTATACTGGATAGGTAAACTCATATACAAATCAAAAGAAAAACAAAAATAAATATTTATTATCTATTACAATAAGAAAATGTTCTAATAAAAATGAACGCAATTATACAAAAATATCTAATTTCATGTCAAACGTTCTAAGTTGACTAATAACATTTCATTTAACTATAATTCTTTTATAATAATATTTAAAAAAAATTTCCTAAACACGTGAATTAAATTAAAACAAAAAATAAACATTGATTTTACCTTCTAAAAATATATTATCGATTGGAACAATTAATAATAATATCGAATGTATTGAAAGAAGGACGGTATGCAACATAATTCGTTTAACTTAAATTATAATTTGATTAACTTGTATTTGAGAATTCCTCAATTCGTAGATACCAACTAAGTCAATTAGAAGTCAGTCGGGCATTTCGTCTAACCGCAGCGACAGTTGTGTTGCTGGCCTTCCATTTCCTTTTTCCAAAGAACTTTCGGTGTTAACGAACTTTAATTCATCAAAAATAGATAAACAGCTGCCACTCCGAATTGCTCATTGTATTTCAAATAATAAATTACAATGACAAAAGTTGGGAAAGGGTAACTTAAATATCTACGGAATACGTACAGCCAAGCGGCAGATACATTATGTTTCATGGGCAATATATTTCGTTATGCTGTTATTGTGTAAATTTAATGGATTTTTATTTATTTTTATAATTTGTTTTAGAGACAAAATTTTAAAATATCATAGAACTTTATCTTAAACCAAATAAATATTCGGAAAACATAAAAACACAAATTCCAAGAATTGAGAATTTAGATTTTAAGCCTTTTTTGGGTTAGAATAATAATGTTCACATTAAAATTATAATGTAAAAAAATGTGTAATGTATAAAAATATTGTTATTTCGTCATGATATATATTTGCTATATTTTTACTCATGTGTCCCATTAATACATATATCAATAGAATCAATAGAATTTCTTTTTAAATCCTATGAATAATACCAGCTGCATTATTAGGGAAAAAATTTAGAATACAGTGAAAGCTCTTTTTAGTGGAAACCAATCGAATCCACAATTCCATTAAAAAGATTATATCTAACATGAAAAATAGCAGCTGAGGTCCAACAACATACCATGTTTAAAATATATGTGCATTTATTAATACTAAACCTTTATTTTTGGATGAGATATACCATAGTTAGTAAATAATGACAACTAATCATAGTTAAGATCGAAAATGTTCAAAAAATAATATTCAAATTAACATGATCTGCATTTATGATAATATGGTTTAATAAAGAAATAATAACATTGATTTCATGTGGGACATGAATCTCCGCGTTGAGAAATATTAATAGGTTTAAAACTGTTGATTATGACATATACAGTCAAACTTTCATAACTCGAACTTCTATAACTTGTACTAAATAAAGTGCAACAGGGTTTAAACTACAAATTACCTACAATTACAAAAAAAAATTCTTTAACTCGGAGTCTCCATAAGTCCAATAATAATAAATTACTTTTTCAAATTACTTTTTCAAATTTTAAAATTATTTTTCATATTTTCTGTTTTTTTTTATTAATTAGTTTTAAGGTGCTGTTAGCTGGCATTTTTTTTTTATCTTTTGTTTTTTAATACTGTCAGCTGGTACTTTGACTTTTGCTTATTTTGCACTATTTTCTTACATATATCGAGTGAAAGTTTTTACTTCGTAATTGATATGAATTCTATTGAGTAAAGTAATTAGTATACATAGTGAGACCTTTTTAGTATATAACTTTAACACTTTAGTGAAGAATGTTGACCGTATTTTAATGTGAAATTTCTTTTTTATTACAAACTAATAAGGTGTTTAATAAATAACAAATAATTAATATGGTTACATTTCATCATAAACATTTCATCATCAACAAAAGTGATTAAATGTCAAAATTTTATGTGCATATGCTAAAAAATTTTTAAATATATATATACATATATATTATATACTCTAATCTAACCTATTATAATTTTAACAACGTCACGACATATAATATATATGTTATATGTATCAATGAGTTAAAATACGATCAAATATATTATGAAAAATTAACAAATTAATAAATTTTGTTTAAATATAATTTTATAATAGCAAGACAATATTTAAATTAGTTTTTTTTTACATAATTTTTCAAAAAATCTAAACGTTAAATGCAACAATATTTCACCAAAAATCGATTTAAATAAGCAAAGAAATTTTAATATTAATGAACTGAGTTGAATTGTGTGTAGATAAATAGTCAATGCCAATGCAACAATTACCGCATTCCAAATGTAATAATAACAAATGGACACATTATGGCTTTCAAACTCAGTTTCAAATGTAATATATCAATTTCGTTTCTTTAGATACACAAAATACAATAGACCCAGACGTATGTATTTCCATTTACAAATAGTTTTTTAATAATGACAAATTAAGATAAATCTAATGCGTCAAAATCACACAACAACACGATTTTATATCTAAAACAATTAAAAATTAAAAAAATAAACCGAGAAGAAAAATATGGTCTTCCATAATATTGAAGTTTCAATAAAAATGATTCGAACAGGAAAAAAATTGGAAAGCATAAATCACTAACTTTTTGTTGCAGTCTTTTTAGGCTTTCACATATTTTTCTAGTACGAAAATATAATAAAGTTTTTTAGTTGTAATAATTCCAATAAAAATGTATATCACTTCTAACAGATATAAGTAGAAAATATATATTTACGCGTAGTTATTCTATAATCAAAAGAAGTTTACTCGATAGGTGTTCTCAGCTGTCATGAGGTTCAATGAAAATCATCGTATCCCCATCACCTAAGTACTATGGTATAGTAATATAACAGCAAACAATACTGTTTATATATCCGCAAGTTAGATATGGCCACACATATAAATAAAGGAAATAGAACTATGCCTTTAATGTCAGTAAAGCTACTAACAAATAAAGATTTTGACCGAATTTCTTGGAGAAAACCAGATTTATTATATAGCATAGAAATCTAAGCAAACCAACTATCGCCTGCAGTTATACCGATAGAGTTAATAATAGTACATTTAGTCTCTTGGTATGGGTCAAAAGGCTACATGTAACAGTATAAGATTTTTGTTCAAACTGTGACGACAAGGCGGTAAGAATGAATGTATGGTATATGGTCCTATCCTACTTCAATAACCTTAAAACTATATAACCTAGAGATATTGTCTGCAGATAACATGTGATCTGTTTGATTTTTGACAACTTTTCAATTGAAAGCCATTAAAGAATTAGAGTTTAGGTTCTCAAAATAGGGTTGAAAGAAGAAAATCGTAAATAGATAATAGTTGCAAATGTGATTTGATCTAAACCCATAGTAAACTTTTTTATTTTTCGTTAAAAGAAGTGGTTTAATCGAGATATGAGAAAGACTATACCATGCAATATGGCTAAAATATCATTGCACCATCATTGTAAATTAAGAAAATCTAACGAGACTAACACAAACGGTTTTAAAAAGTAAACCACTTATACTCTCTCACTCCGGTAACATATCAGATCAAAAGTAATGTGTAAATAATAATGATTTAGATGAAGAGGAAAGTAGGCAGACTTTACTATGCTACAATTTACTAGGCAATAAAAATAAGTAAATACCAAATTAACATATATAATGAAATAATAAAAAAAAATTCATTTGAAATTAAAAAAACCTAACACAACAATGTGAAGTCAAGATATTATAAAGTAGTAACATTGCGCATCTGTTCATATAAGATTTTTATTGTCACTTATAACAGATTAATGGCATTTTCAAATCCACTCCGATAAAAGGTAGGTGATTTTGTAAGTTAGTAAAAATACATTGTTCAATGACATAAATTGCTACTATAATGTTTATTAAAGAAAGAAGTTCCGGGTGCGCCAGAAGAGTGGGGTCAATATGGTGTACAGTGATTTAGGTTGGTTTATAACCGCAACCCTAAGTATTAATATTGTATTACCATATTAAATTCGAAGAATTTTATTAAACAACTGGTACCTTACACTAACCTTAAAATGCTTTTTTAAGAGATCTTCAGAAGACTCTATTTTCTCTAGAAAGTAGGTTCCTAGCATGTCAATTCTTCTTCATAGAGATTTCAGAATAATGCAAAATTTTAAAGTGAAGAATTCAGGAAGCGAATTAAACAAATTAATCTAAAAGGAATTTTATGGACATTGTACTAAAGCCATAATATTATTTGAAAGATTTAACTAATCTAATTTTTTAACTAATTGTTCAAATGGGTTTTTACCATTTATTTACCTACAGAGTTCTTTAATTGTGATAATGCGAACATAAAATGTACCGCACCAAGAAGAGCACTTAAAAACATATTTAAACGTTGTCTAACTTTTCGTATAGATACACTAGCACAGCGGTCACTATCACAATTTACTGAAGACAAAACTCATTAGCCATAAAAAATCTCTAAACGCTTATTTGGCGGTAAAATCATAAATTAGATTTTTACACGCGGTTAACGAGATTGATGGGTTCAATATGATTTGGTTTAGCTACATTGGCCTCTACGTATAATTTGTTATCTAAAAAAATGTCTACAGATTGATAGATGAATGGAAATTTGGTGGTGGTACTGCATTTTAGTGATTACTGGGAATAGAGAGAAAGAGTTAATAAATGGTATAATTTTTCATATAAATGGTAGATTCGTATGTTAACTTCACAATATTTTAGGTGTTAAGTTTTGGAAGAAATTATGAAATTTGAAAAACAAAACAAAAACCGAACTAAATGTTTAAAATTTAAGAAAAAAATGTTAAAAAACTCATTTTTAAAAAACCAAATTTACAAAAGGAATCATTAGAACAAACAAACAAAAAAATAGTTTCCGTACTTAATGCTAGAGCTGCTTGAAATTATAGTTTTTAAGGTACATACATTTCACTGTCGAAAACTATTCCGCATTGCTGTTCCTTACGCCAAATTACTCCAGTTTAACGATATCCCTGACTCTTTTTTTTGATGACAAAACTTTGACGATATGACTTTGGTAAGTTTATTGTCATGTTGAGGTCGTTCATGTGTTAAACACCCTTAGAGACTGATATCTGTATTAAATGACTTACTGCTGAGTTATGACGTGGCTCAAGCACTTTAGTACAAAGACGTCATACAGAAATTAACCCTACACCCGAACGATATATATAAGCCACAAATGCACTGATAGCAGCAATCAGTTGGCGTCGTCTGTTGCCGCTTCCATGACTTGTGGCGCCGGAATAACTCAAATAAACTTTTTATGGATTTTTTTATTTTGTGTGAGTCTTCGACTGCTGCTCAACTGACAGTCATTAAATAACTACCTTAGAGCAATGCTATATTTTATAATTCTTCAATAAGTGAAATTGCTGAAGCTAAAACTAATTATTTAATTATGACACAGAAATATTTGTGTTGCATTAGTGACGGTTCGTGTTCGTCATTATATGCATTTTTTACTTACTTACTTTAAATTGATGTAATTTTTAGTGGAAGAGATACAGTTGGATCTACCACATTCATATATTAAATAATATTAATTTAAGTGAATGTATAAAAAACTTTACTTTTGAGGTAAATTAATAATTAATTTTGTTGTATAATTTATTACATAACGAAGTTATAAAGAGGTTTTTTTCGAAAAGCAGTGAACTACAACAACAAAAATTCATTTATATATTATTTTTAATTAATTTAATTTTTGACCGACCATACAGCTGTTTCGAGTATTGCCAAATATCCATCATTAGTGGCCTTGGAAATAATACTTGTATTTAATTATTCGTAAATAATTTTTTGAGACTGCAACTACCAGGAATCGAACTAGCGTCCTGCCAAATTTGAAGCTCAGCCAATTGACCCAATGCCATACTTGACTTTTATGTTCGCACATTTTTCTGGAGCTTTGTTGCTTTGCTGTGAAAGTTTTATTAACAAATTATTCTACAAATAGTTGTAAAATAATTGAATTAATTAATTATATATTTTTATTTTTAATTGTTAAATTTCAATAATATATTGTTTGTAAAGGCATTATTTGTTGCATGAAATTATTTAATTTAATTTATTTATTTTTACTGAATAATATATTAAATATATAATATCCTGTTAAAGACAATTGCTTCTTGGTATAGTACTACAATTAAATAAAATTTGGTAAAAATGTATTATTGTCTTATAAAAATCATATTTGATCGTGATTTAATGATAATGAATTGATAATGTGAAATCTCCCTAACGCCCCTTTTCATAAGTACCTACTAAATTAATAATTACTATAAAAAAAATTTTATTTTCTATTAAATTATAGCTATGTTACTTTATCTGAATTATCTGTTATTGAATTATTTTATAAAATTGATCAGATTACGGATATTAACGACAATCAACATCAAATCAAATCAGTCAAGAGAACTTACAAACATTACTATACAGTAAAGATACTATTTTCTATTCATACGAATGTGAAAATCATAAATACATATATAAAGAAAGTATATAGAAAATGTATATAAATATATACACTCAGAACTTACCCCAATATAACTAATTCACCATATCGCACTCGTGGTTTATCATGTCCATCAGCATCGGCTTCTGCAAGAATTGGAGATTCTGTGCCGTCAGTACTAGAAATAAAAAAGTAAAAAATATATCGTGTTAAATATTTGAATATTAAATTAGCATAAATTTAAAAAAAAATTAGTTATAAAATTAGTTAGTTAGTTATAATTTAATTAGGATAAGGCAGTCTTCAAACAAAACTATTTAATGAGAAATCAATTAAAAACTAAAGCTTCTTATTTTAATATCGACTAATTAATTTAAGTTGATTCAATTAGTCTAAAAGCTGATTTCTTAATCGTAATTAAAGACTTAATACTGACTTAAATCATGCTTAAGTAATCAAGTATGCTTATTTCATACTTTAGTCAGTTTTTGGACTTAAAGTCTAATTATCTAATCGGTCTTAAAAGTGTCTTAGGAAGTTGAACGCATTTATAAAAACAAAAACAGTGTAGCTCGATATGACACTCGGGCATATAAATTTTTTCCGGATCCTTTTTTAATATTTTTTAATACAATATATTATAACATTTTTGTTATTTTGTATTAATAAAAGTTATAATAAAAGTTATTATATATACATATAATGAAATTATAAATATATATAATAAAATAATAAATATATATACTAAAATAATAAATATATATAATAAAATATATATATTGTATATAATAAAAGTTATTATATATTTATAATTGCATTTTTAAAGAGAAGTAGGAAAAGAAACGAAAATATTTACATTATTATCACTATTTTTTAAAGTCTTCACTTTTCCCTGAAATCAATTATTAACCCACCCGAATTAAGATGGGAGAATTTAAGATTCTCTGGACACTAGTTAATAGTAGTAAAAAATCAACATATATTTTTTATTGTATATTATGCAACATTAGGCACAAAAGGGTTAATACTAATACAGTTTGTATATAAATATAGTTGCCCTTGCACAGTATGAACAAGTTTATTTTTTCCCTTATATTACTTTTGCAGAACTATAATACTTATCATTTATAATTTTGGAACTACAAAATTAACTTATAACTATTATTATTATAAATATAACTTTACGAGTATAAGGTAAATAGAGTAGCGTGACTTTGGCTTCTAGTCCTTAAAAATAAACTTTTTCAACATTAAATATTTATACATATATATATAAATGTATATATATGGATATGTTATGTATGTAATTAGTAGTTAACACTCATATTCATACGTCATGTGTTTAAAAACAATTAATAGAAAGTTCAACCTATAAATATTTCCACTCAAATCACAAGTGTACATGGTACCGAAATATTTAATATCTTACTTAGAAACATCAACTACCAGGAATAGCACTTTTAGAATTACTCAAAATATAGTTACTTTCAATATTGATATGTAATTTAATAATTTACTCTCTGTAGTTTTTTACGAATAATATTTTAGTACAAAGAAATACAGCTACGTCTACATTTCTTTTGCTCCTACAACATTTTTTTAGCTTATGAATATAAAATTTCAAATAGGGAAATGAAAAGAAAACAAAGTGAAATATCTTGTTTATTTTAAAACTTTTCTCTTTAAATTTAAAATAAAATAAATAAACATTTGACACCCGAAGACATAAAAATTCATATGTACGAAACGTACGCATAAGTAAAAAAAACTACATATGCAACTAAAAAAAAAGTGTATAGCAAAAGATACAATGTAAAAGTTTAGCAAGATACTTTGTTCTGTTAGAAAACTTAAAACAATATAAATTTAAAACTCATATATACAAATACAAGTATATATATGTTGCATATACATTACATATAGACACATATAATTTCTTTTATTGTAGTACATTGAAAATTAAAACAATTGCAGTAATCAAAACTTGAAGGAGAAAAAATAAAAATAAAGTTGGAACTATGAATTGGAGACAATTATATTATAATTTCATATATTCATGCATTCTCAGATATAAGATCACTTCAGTAAATAGAATTTTTAGAAGAATACAATCAGTTTGTTTAAGCAAAAAATTGATCCTTATTAAGAATCATTTAAAAAAATGCTTCTCTTTATACTTGAATTAAGGGCAGATAGTTAAGTTTAGCTTAAGTTAAAATAACCCATGTTGAAATGAATATAAAGTCTTATATGCGGTAAGAACTATTACCTAGTGAAATACCCTCAAAGCAGCAGTTTATTTAGTCAGTTGTCTATTTTGTCCGATGGTTGGAATAGAAGAAACAGTTACTTTATCTTGAAATTTTTAGTTCAATTATCTCAATCAAGTTCTTGCAAAAGTTGAGAATAACAAATAAAGTGCTATATTGTCTATATAGTCGAAATAATTTAAAATGTTGGAATTGTGATGATACCTACCATGTCATAACTGTGTGATGTCTAAATGTATTGAACTACTATCACTACTATAAGATCCTTTTTTCTTTAATTGCAGCAAAAAAATTCGTCAGTTTATTGATCAATTTTATAATAGCCACTTCGAAATATTTACTATTTTAAACAAAGCGGTTAAGTCACTGATCTAACTAAAGAATTCCTCAAAGCTTACACAGAAAATTTGTTTTAGATCTATAGCTTTCATTGGTCATGCAAACCTCTAATTCATTCCCTATGACAGTGATATAAGATGTAATATAAGATGACGTCTATTAACTAAAATAATGTTAAATAATGCCTTTTAGCTGATCATGTTTGAAAAATAAGAAGAGTTATAAAGTACAGTTTGACTGTTACTTCAGAATCCGATGTACTTTTGTAGTCAGTTCTAAAAGATTCCTTAGCAAATAATTTGCAATATGTCACATATTTCTACTAAGAAAATTGTTACCATATAGAACATTTGATAGAAATGGAGAATATAGAACGCTATTTGGTTCTATCGTTTTAAGATTTGAACTGAAAAATCATTCATAGTTATTATATACTTAAGTATTTGAAGGTTCTCTAAGATTTGAGGCACACAGTTAATATAGACCTGTAACTATCATCTCACGCCATTAACAAAGTATAAGTTGGTTTCTAAAGTAAACAGTTAAAACTATATTTAACCGACTAAGGATACTTAGATGGAGAATTTAATGAAAATTATTTACTAAACTTTGAGTTTTAAAACATGTGAGTTTTAAAGAGTTTCGTGGTTATTGGATTTTTGTTTATTATTCATATTTAACTATTTAGTGCAAAACTGCAAATGTTCACATGTCAAGTCCGTCATGTTTATATAGTTACTTTAATTCTATATAAAAAGTTTTATTTGTTTATAAACTGTGACACTCGGAGCTTATCAGTTATATATTTAACAAGAAATTTTGAAGTTTTTTAAAAAATGTAAATAAAATTAATCAAAAATGTGATATATTCTTAAAGGCAACGAATTTTAACTAGTCAATAATTTTTTAAATTGAAATACAAATTCAACACTTAAACATGTTATTAATATAAAATTTTTATAGAAAAATAAATAAATTATTCACTAAGGTGTGACTTGTTTAAATAAATTAAGTAAAGTGGTTCAAATTTAAGTTAGGGAACCAAATGAACTTATCAATAAGACGATCAAACAAACCTTGAATAGTGTAAACGTTTTCGGTCAGTTTATTTTCGATTAACTATATTTTCCATGAGAATTTTGCAAATTTAAGTCAGGAGTTAATAAAAAAAATAATATTATTCTAGTATTATTTAAGAAAAAGTCACTCATTAAATTGGTGTAAAATTATACAAAAAAGATTATGCATTATATCTACTTTTGTAGTCAATTGTATTTTTCCATTGTTTAATTGACATTTTAATAATGACGCCCCTTTTTCTTATCGCAAGCTCTTGTAAGGGGAAAACCTAATATGTTGAATCATTTGTGTTCAGTTTTTAAGCAAGGGAATTTTTAAATATAGTGCTTTAGTTTTAGTTATGACGATATATTTAAAACTAAGCTTCAAAATATAGAATTTAAAAAAAAAAAAATTTAAACAATGATTCATAAAATTTGAAAGAAGATTCCATGTGTCACAAATAAAACTTATTAGCAAATATGAAACCTCAATTGAATTTATTAAAATATATCATTTATATATAACTATAATATATCTATAATATAA